GAAAAAAAGCTTTATGGGGGTTTTTGTTTCCTGTTTAAAAATCTCCCCCCCCCCCCCCCCTTCCCTTCCCTTCCCTCTACCACATCTCGTCAGCCTCTCCATATCTCTATTGAAAATATTTTTTGTTGTGTTTTTGAGAAACGAAAAAATTAATTTTACGGCTTTTCAATTTGCTTCAACAACGTTGTGTTTGATGAATTGGGTATAAGGGTTTTCCTGGATATTTCAAATAAATAAAAAAAAGTTGTTTAAGAATCAACTTTTCTCGAAATTTTCTTTTTACTAACCATGTCCAGTGAGAATACGTCCGGAGAACTGATGGAGAGAGAGTTGTCGAGAGAAATAGTAGCAGTCGCTTCACTTCCGTCCAGTAGTTTCTTCCAAACTTTTTCTCTCCCTTCATCCTTTCTCTTCCTGATTCTTTCTCTCTCTCTCCTTCCCTCTATCTTGTACTCTTTGATAAACGAATGGGCTCTTTTCCCATCTCTCTCCCTCCCTTTCGTTTCTTTATTCTAATCATAAGCAGAGAATCTTGGTGAAAATAATTTTTTGCTTCGAAAACTATGACAATGCGACGAAACACGGCCGCCATGTTGAAGACAATCGTGTCCTGTCCATAGTGAAATCTTTCCCAAAGCTCCGCTCATATCACCCATAATAGCATTCGTATGCACTTTTTTTACAACATTTTCGTCTTGGGACTATGTTTGGCTGAAAGAGCAACGAGAGGAAGATGACACAACTCAGATTGTTCGATGATCATATAAGGCATAATATTCCTACTAAAAATTATTTTTGCTTATTGTCTCGTCTCCCGTATTCATATGTTTCTTCTGATTTTCTTTGTTATTCTGTTTTTTCGACGTCCACATAATCTCCAATCCCCTTTTTTGGCAGCGTGAATGAGAGTGTATATGGCTGTGTGTGTGTGTGTGTGTGTGTGTGTGTGTGTGTGCACATTCGCGTTCGTGTGTCTTTTGGTATTACGATGATACACTGATGACCGCATAATTATTTCATTATTATTATTTTAAATTGGCTGAGAAATTAATGTCCTCTCCGCAAAGTTCAATACTTTATAATGAAAGTGATCAATGGTACGAGGAGAGGGTGAAGGAGTGTGGTGGGTGAGGAAGGAGAGAGGGAGGAGCATGTCATTAGAACCTTTTAAGGTCAACATTTTTGTGATGATTGAGCCTTAAAAAGGCTTGTAGTAGCTTCATCCGATAGCCCAACATTTATTTTTCTTCCAAAATTGTTTGTTAAGAAGAAGAAAATGAAAGGACAAGATGAATTCCACTATTTAACGTTGCCGAATGGAATAATTCCTTTTTGAAAATGCTGAATTGAATAAGAGAGAGGAAAAAGGAGGGAGTTTAACTCGTTTTGACAAGAACTCCTTGTTTTCACAACATTGTCTATTCGATAAATCTCCAAGTCTTTCCTTATTACTCTGACGATTTTTGCCTTTTTATGTATTCACAGCTTTTCGATGGAGGGAGCGAGAGAGAGAGAGAGAGAGATGAGAGAAGAACAGAATAACATAAAGATTTAAATGGAGGCAGAGAGTCAAGAGATGTAAAGGTTCATCCACCTCTAAATCCTACAAACGTTTAACCTCAGGCGTTTTAATCCGCTAGCTTTGACTTCCTTCGTAAGTTAAGCAAAATTTAAGAGAATTAGGAGAGAATGTGGTCGTATACGGAGTTTCTAAAAAAGAAATTGTTCTTCCAAACCTCAAAGTCCTTTCTAGAGATTTACTTCGAGAGAAATCTTTAGAGAACAAGTACGAATAAAGTGAGAATGAGATAGAAGGTTGAGGCTGAGGGTAGAGGCAAGAACGAAAAGAGCTCCAAGAACAACTAGTTAAACATTCTCTCAAAGCTTCGAAGGTTCATCGTCCAAATGTTTACGAAAAAAAGTCTCCTGAGCGAAGTTTCTGTTCCGAGAAAACAAAATGCTTCAAAAACCTTTATTGTCATTTTTGGCCTTTCAAACGAATCTTTTTTTTTGCAAAGGGTGGAGGAATGAGAAGAGAGAGAGAGGGGGGGGGGGAGAAGAAGAGATTCAATTTCCCTGTTCTCTTCATATATATTTCTTTTCATTCTGATGTTCTGCAAGCATTTCGTTTACATGATAGTCTCTTCTCTTCATGGAAGAATGAGCTAGATAAAGAGAGTTTGTGAAAATTTGAATGTGATGAGAAGAAGAGCTGTTTCAAAAGCCGTAAAAATCCCGAAGAGACATCCGTACAAAGGGAGAGGGAAAGAGAGAAAGAGACATCATCAACTTGTGTGTATGTCTATGTATGGAGTAAAAGCATGTGTAGCATCAGGGACAAGAACTTGTTTGTTCTGTTGGTCGTTCTGGATACCAAGTCCGGCACATAATTTTTATTTTTGAAAACTTAAAATGTCTCGAAATGAGCAAAGGCATCAGAATTATTATTCGATCATGATGGGGCGGAAGCAGCCATAAATCATGGGAATGAAGATGTTGCGAATGACAAACATCAAGTGGCTGGCAGAAATGAACGAATAGCTTCTCAACTACAGCAGTACATGTGAAAAGCTTGGGAAAATATGGAGAAATAAGTCTTGTTAGATCAAACTTTCTCGTATTTTTTTGAGTTGTGGGAGTTGAGAGATGAATCTTGAGACTTGAATGTTCAAACTATTTTGTCAAATTGAACCAATCAACCAATTTTTCTTGAGCGATTAGGATTGCCATCCATACATACATGCTGCCTGCCGCAGTTGGTCTTTTACCGTTTCCTCATCAACATTCACTATTTGATCCTTTTTCATGTCTTTTAGCTATTGTTTCTCTTATAAGGATTTTCATTAGAAATTGAGATGCAAAGGAAGGAAATGAGGGAGTGACGAAGGCGAAAGAAGCGCCGAATGAGATCGACAACGGGTTAAGGATGGCAGTGAAGATGAAGCTCCCTTAGATAGCTCAACTAACTTACTGCTTGTAACTCTGGAAACTGACGTTCCATAAGAGAATAATTGGAAAAAAATGAAAACGGCGTTCTTTTTTTTCCACAGCCAAACAAGGTGCCGGGGCAAGCAGACAAGAAAGGAGGGTTGCTGTCAGCAAAGGGCCATGCGAGAAAGAGGTTTTTTGGTTGAGCCACCTCAATTTGAGTGAAACCTAAGTTGAAAAGACAGAAAACAAAAAGAAAAACTTGAGAATTGTCATGTCGATCATAACTTTCTTTGTTTTGCAGGATAGAAGAAGAAGAAGAATCAGATTGTGATGCTGTCCCTCTACCTATTCAAACATTTCTTTGGAGACAGACAAAGTACGTTTTCCTTTTTTGTTTTTTCTTGTCTCATTAAGGAAGTGGAAGCTCTGCTCATTCCACTCTCCTTCTATATATATGCGGAAAAATGATAAAAATTTATTATTTAGTCCCTTTCTCGGAGCCAAAATAGGAAAGTTACATGAAGCTTCTTGTGTGGTGAGTTTTCAATATTTTTTTTCATTCTTTTCCATTATTTGGAAGGGAGGGAGGGCGACATGAGTGTGTACGGGATAGAGAATCCACGTTGCTTTGAGGGTTTTGTATATCAGGGGGATGTTGTATTGAAATGATCATATCAGGATATTTTCATGACTACTACTAACCATCAATCGAAACTCAGTTTGTAGATGAGCACTCGTCACCAGATGTACTTCTGTCTTCCATTTATTTGTTCTCTCTTTTTCCGAATTTTCCTGATTTGCTTAGAAGATTTGAGGAGAAGAGGAATGCCATTTTCGTTTGACATCTCTTTTGACTTTTGCGATAACGTGGGGGAGTTCTTCTCTTTCGTTTCCCACAGTTTCGATCTCGAGTGTTCCTTGAAAGTCGAAGTTCAGTTGTTGTTAGTAGTTGTTGTTGTTGTTTTGGTTGGGTTTCGTCTTACTGTTGATGTCGCTCTTCTTCTTTCATCAGACTCCACTTCCCATTTCTGCCTGGGTCTTCCCTCTTCCTCTCATCGTACCTTCCATTGACAACAGACACGGAAGCGGAGGAAGAGTCAAGAAAACTCGTATAAGGTGAGATTTTATGGACCATGAAGAGAAGCGAGCTAAGTGAAGCTTCTTAGAGCTTCTCTTCGTCTCATTCTCATTTTGTGTCTCGGGCAAATTCAAGCGGAGCTGCATGAATAATTGAGCAGTGTGAGAGATGTGTCAGACAGCAAAACCTAAATTGAAAATTTTCTGCTTATAAAACTGATTCTCCTCCTAAGGCTTTTAAGTTTCCGACAAAAACGAAGGAAAGATTAAGAAACTTTGATGAAACATTTTGTGTCAAATTGACTATTTGGCACTAGATGGGATAAGAGGTATGAAAGAGTGTGAGAGAGAGAAAGAGAGGGAGGGAGTAGGGAGAGAACAGAGAGTGGAAACATGCACTTTGGTGTTTGATAGTTATGAACAAATATGGTTGTCCTTATAATCTTTTATTTATATCTTCATTTTATATGTAAGTTTATAACGAATTTCCAAAAGACAATTCACATGGCTCTCAGAACATTCTCATCTTTTTCTTTTCTCTTCCATATTTGGGCAGAAGTTTAAGAATGTATTCTGCTCTACAACAAGTAAGCTGAGAATCAGCTTCCAGACAATTGTCTTATGGGGATATCCTTTTGAGACTTTTCATTTACATAGTGAATTTCCCATCCACGTGCTCATCATCGCTTCAACATAACCACTACTATACAGCCAAAAGGCTTGTCAAGTTGCCTTCAATTCCACCTCGCTGCCATCTCTCTCTCTCTCTCTCTCTTGCATCCTCCTCTTCCCTTTCCTCTTCTTGCTATCTCTGTTCTAAACTTTCTCTGAACGTAGTGTCAGTATATAATTGAAAAACAAATAAATTGGAACAGAGAAAGAAATAAAGGATTTTAAGGACAGAAGGAGATTAAGGAGAGTCAGAGAAATTAAGTCTCCAAATCGTTATCTTTTTCATTCACCACTTGCTGCTCATCTTTTCGTGACAGCTTGTTCAGAAGCCCAGATTTGCATATGAAGTTTATGTGAATAAGTCTTCAGGCTGTCTATCTCCTTTCAGCTGCAAGTTCCGAGAAATAAAAGGTTCTCATCTTATACATAGAAAGAAGTTTTCATTAAATCGTTTCAAATCCTTAAGGATTTGCCCAAAAAACTTAAAAGAGATAAGACCATTATGGAGGAATGGCCGTTTCTCTTGTCTATGTGAATGTGTGCTGCAGCTCTCAGAGTTCAGTGATGAAATGCTTTGCTTTGAAGTTTGAAGAATTCACAAACTCGTTGAACTGAATTTCCGGGCTTCAAGTTGGCACCGGAAATTGACTTCGACCTTCTATAAGACCTTCTCCTCCCTACTCTCTCTGCTCTCTCCATCTTTCACATCTTTGGCAGATAGAATTGCTAAATTCCTCATTTTCATATCATCATTTTTCTTCATTTTGTTCTTCACGTCTTCATATGAAAGCGTAATAGGAGTGCGTCAAAACCCCGGGGAGTGCATCCAAACTAAGAGAAGCCAGGCAGCTTTTAAACCATTTTGCATGTGTATAAATTTCGAAGCTGAAGTGGTGTGTTGGTCCTCTTGTCGTTGAACTGCAAGAGCCTCTGGGGACAGGGATAAGGACCATCATATTGGAAAAAGAAGTCGACGAGACGAAAACGACATCAGGCTAGCCGGTTGAAATAAAATGTGGGGGAGGTTATAGAACACAAAAATGGGAGAGGAAGCACAGACACTGCTTGATAAAAGACGGAATGAAACAGAGAGAGTAAGAGATATTCAGGAGAGATCGTGAAAGGAGTTAAACTGATGAGCCGAGAAATGGATGAGCAGACGGAATTCCGAATAGGGACTGCTCATCCCTTCTCCCAATGAAACTCACAATTATGAGAAGTTTGAGTTGTTAAGATGAAATCTGCTGTCAACAACTTTCAAGGAAATCGTTGAGTTTGAAAAATGGGGAAACATGGGATGCTGAAAGATACAATCTCTTTCAATGAAAAATACCAAATGAACATGAACGCTTTTCAGACTTTCGAGCGAGTAGTTGTGCAGAACATATTACACGGTCTTTCACCATCTCTATCAGATGCTTTGGCAAGTGTTAGTAGATGGAAGCTCGTTCGAGCAGCCCTGCCTCATGTTATACAGGTTTTCAATGTCGTTTCGAAGATTGCTGACTTTATATGTTCATTACAGTGTTGTGGCTCCTTGCTGGATGCAAACCTCGGCCAGAAAGGAATGCCTACATCTCTTCAGAAGATTTTGTACATTCTACATTGGATGTTGTTAGACGCTGCTTCAGAATGTACAGAAAACTCGGCTGAAGAAGTAATTTGATTGTTGCTCTTACTGGCTAACAAACTCGTTTTAGGGTGAAGAAGGTACACCATCGCCAAGAAATCAAGGATTATTCTCTCTATCATCTATTCAATTATTTGTTTATTTAATAACTCCATTATGTGAAGAGGTGAAAGAAGAAGACATATCTTCGAATATTCGATTAGAGAGTGGTCTCAAGATTTGGCAAGCCTTATGGCAGGTGAGTAGAGCATATCATTTCCACATTGTTGACAGTCTCTCATCATTCAAATTTTCAAAAACAGTGCGCGCAATTCATTTCGCAATATTATTTCTGTGATGCGGTTGTGTTTCTCGCTGCTTTTCGTCTTTTTCAAATTATCACACAAATTGATATAATTTGAGAGACCGGTTGTTCTTCGTTTTTTTATTTTATTTTCTTAGCATCGGGCTCCCGAAGTTTGGTGTTTCTGTGCTCCAGTGAAGCAAAGGAAAGATGAGCTTCCTGTCGTTCAGTTCAATAGATGGCAGAACAGTTCAGCCAAACAACAGAGTCAAGGTGTTTATTTGGGTATGTTTATTACGTTTTTAATTGCATATTGATGAGTTAATTTTTGCAGGAGAAGAGGAAAATAGAGCGCGTAGACCTTCCGTTGTACCTCCGCCTAAACCACCTAGGAGCGATGAACGAGTCCTGAGCGAGAAACGGAAACGAGAACTGCAGAAGCAAAAAGAACTGGAAGAGCAACAGCAAGCGAAGGCTCAGTTAGTATCACTTGTCCTATTGTGTTTCGAATCATTCAATTTGCAGACAACATCCGATGCACCCACCTCGTCCTCCAGAGCCACCTCAAGCTCTTCTAATAGATGTAGGAATTAACTCTAAATTACCAGTTACCTCAATAGTAAGAAGTGTTAGTGAATATAAGGTACTTCTGAATCTTCACTCTTGCGGCTTACTCCTTATCTTTTTCTCAGGCGAATGAATTAGCTCTGGACACAAGGAATCGGATTTGCAAAAGTAACACGGCCAATGCCTTCGATATCTCTCCAAGTATGGGAACATAGTTTGCCTTAAATTTAAGACGTTTTGTAGCTTCGGAAAATTCGCTACGAATGATGGATGAAGTTGAAGCAGCTCTCCGCTTCGTGGAAGATCACTCAATGTCTGGTGTTTTTTGTTCCGATGAAGCTCCTCTAGTTCAATTGAATGATATTTGTAGCGGTATTTCAATTGAGCCAGGAGAGAACAAGGATTCAACTTGTCAAGTAGGCACGATTCTAATTTGCACATCACAAGTATATGTTATAGGTTGTATGTGACAATTGCGGCAATGTTGTGTATAGAAGTAAGACAGTAGTTGGTGTTTGTGATTGCAAAACGAAGTCTAACTTTCGTATTGTGACTAATGAAGCCCCACCGTTGGTGCTCACAAGAGGTATATATGACACTACTGCCTTGTTCTTATGGATCTTGTTAATAGCTTCAACCATGGATGAAACAAACTCTACTAGTAGCCAGCAGACCATTATTCCTGTACCGATCATACGACCATCTCCAACACCTCCTAAGAAGCCATCGCTTCCTGAACCTAGAAAGGTTCATGAGGGTGAGTTCTCAGATATCTGTTTCCGACTATTTCTGGTTTTAGCCTTACGTCAACGAAGTGGAGATGGTACCGATGAAGATGTAGAGGAAATTTCAACTTACGACCCAATGGTAAAACGTACTCAAAGTTTATTACTATTCATTGTGTTGCAGACTGCCACATTTTTTGACATCGCTGTTATAAGAGCATTGCTGGTAACACATTGGAGTGAGCAAGGAGTGTATTGGGGGTTGAAGTATCTGTTGAATCGCTTGGAGGAAGTGCAGGCACATGTTTCGAAGAACAGCCCTAGGAACCGAAGTAATTCTTTACCCAGTGGCGAGAAGAAACCTTCTGTAGGGGTAAGTTACTGAGTTATTGGTTTTTTTTAATAACACACATAATATCAGATTGACATCGAATATCAGAACCCCACTTGGGATGACTTTCAGTTGAACAAAGAAGAAGATCGTTCACGTTTGAAAGTTGCATTCACGGACGGAAGGTTAGTTTTGGAACAATTGTATAAATGCTCATTCTGTTTATCAGGAGGAAATCTAGTGATAACGCTCTAGCACCTGTTTATGGCAACCAAGTCAGAAGAGCAAGTTTGAACACGCTGATCAAAAGAGAACGAAACAGGTAAGGTTCTGCGACAGTTTGTAAATGAAGCATTTGGTTTAGGAGTGATCCGTCATTAAACAACTCTGTCGAAGGTCTTTCAATAAGAGACGAAAGTGGATCAATGAGCAATGTCTCTTCGAAGTCTCTGGATAAAGACAAACCAATCCCATGTACTATAAATAATAATCCGATGAAAGCTCAATATTATCCGGAAGCTTTGGGTAGCTCGAACTTCATAGAGAAGAATGGTCAAATTAGTTTAACAGTTATTGTACAGACAATCAATCAGGTATGCTATAAGTTCTTCACGGAGAAGACTCATTGACCTCTTATAGGTTATGGAACGTTCGTTCGTTGTTAGACATTGTGAATTAGCTTTGAATATCGCTGACACATTGATCCGAACTCAGGCTGATCAAACAGAAGGGTTTTTTACTCAGTTAACTCATATGGTTTTTCGGTATGTTATATCGATAGTTGTCCCTCTCATCATTGGTTCAGAATTTATCTTTCACTTGGTTGTCCACACGGGTGTAATGACGGTGTCAAAAGTCAACAGGGTGATTTTTTACGGGTTAAAGCCAAGACAGTTCTTGCTAGCTTGGAAAAACTAGAACAGGTTTGTGTGCTCTCTAATCTATCAAGCGTATTGAGACAATTTCAGGAAAAGTTCAAACGTATCATCATGTCGTATGTAGAAGAAAACTCTTGTCAACAAGTCTTAGACTTACTCCATTCCATTACTGCCTTTTGTAGATCAGAGTTTCCACGTAATATTATAATTTATCTATGATCTTACTGAGTTGTGTTATAGCTCCAGAGTCACGAAGATCATCTGAGTGTCTCCCTTCGTACAGGAACAAATTCAATGAGAGAGAGAAAGGCATCGAAGGTCGAATGGTATCTGCAACATTCAAAAATCTGACAACCAAACTGTCAGATATATCTGAGCAACTCGAGCAACCAGAGAACATGGTATAACTTTCATGAGTTTTTGTGATTGACCTAGATTTATAGAGTTTATTGCAAGACATACGGATGCTTGTCAATTATGTACAGGAGCAACACGGGAACCCTTTTAGACGTGTGGGATTGTCCGCTCTATTGGACGCCATCGATAGAAATCCCGTTGTCGAGAGGTATTCCCCATAATCAGAACTACTTTTACTTGTTTGTTTAACAGTACGGAAACAGTCAGAAAGGAAGGAGGAAGTGGGAAAAGTAGTCCTTCTGGATTAGCGCCTCCGGTTTATAAAGGAGAAGCGAGCTTGCGACGGGGACTATTCAAGAAGAAAGAAAAGGTTAGATGATAAAATATCTTTAAATCAATTGGGTTTGGGGGCAAAAGAATTGCCCATGACAGGAATCGAACCTGTGTCACCACGGCCACAACGTGGGGTACTAACCACTATACTACATGGGCCGATAGCAGATGTTTCAATTTTCTTTTGTCTACCGAGCGAAAATCTTATCTCTTAGACGATACAATTATTTCTTGATTTCTTTATGGTTTTCTATAAATTACTGCTTGTAGAGTGGACAAGATGACTCGGATGCTGATTCTTCACCATCAACACCAAGAACCGTTTCTTCAATGGATGACGCTATTTCTCCGTTAGTTCCACCATCCGCTTTGAAGAAGAAAAGTGCTCCGAAGTTACATTTTGGTGAGTTTGTAAAGATTACTCGATGAATGTATGTTGCTTCTTTGTAGCTTTCAATCTTCTGAAAACAGCTAAAATTGATAATGCAGATGATGACTACTCCGACTCTGAAGCAGCTGATGATTGCGTGGTTTGGTTTTTCAGTTAATATGTAGCAAAAGATATATTGTAGGAAATTGACTTCTCTAAGAAAGCATCTCGCGACTCATTCAGAAAACAACAGATGAAAGGTCCAGTAGATGGTATGAAACTGTTTATTTTATCATTATTCAAGATTAAAACAAACATTATAAACAATTTTTGCAAAGAAATTATTTTGCAAAACAGCTGACGAGAGTGGGATTCGAACCCACGCCTCCGGGGAGACTGGTGCCTAAAACCAGCGCCTTGGACCGCTCGGCCATCTCGCCTACATTCATAGCGCGAACAAAATGAAAGAGATAGACGCGGCTGCAAACAAAGTGCTTCACTGCAGTTTGCTTGCAAAAACATGCTGACCACATCGTAGTAAAGTGAAAATTCCTGTTTTTTTTCAGCAAAAGGAAACATGTGTTTGTGGGGTGTAATGATTCCTGCTCCGACCTTGCTGAGTGTGAAGGGAATACTGGATGGAGCGCGAAGGTTTTCATTTCTTCTAGAGACAGCAAGACCCGGTACTTTTCCTGATCCTCCTCTGATTGCTGCTCTGCTTCATCTGGTATATTTTAGCAATACTAGGAAATATACTTTTATTAATTACTATAGAAGTCACCGGTGCTTGCCAGAGCAAGTTTGCTACTAGAGTGTTGCCATTTTGTGTCCAGATGTAATCGAGGCCAGTGGCCAGAATGGATACGTTCAGGTCATCATCGGGCTATGTCATTGGGAGGCCCTCTGGCTAATAGAGGTTCGCAAAGAAAGAGACAGAACATATATCACAAAAAACATGTTTTAAGGAACACCATCAGCTACCCGACGGATGCATTCTCTCCAACGATCAGCTGGGCGCTATTTTTACCAATGGGCATTACATGTGAGTCATGGCTAGTGGGATGAATTGATTCAAAAGATATTCAGGTCGGAGAACAGTTATCCAAAGAGTTGGAGAAAGTAGATCATCGTGATAAGAGAGAACTGAAGATGTATGATTCTATGGAAGATTATTTCGATGATGGTTTGGTTGCACTTTAAAGTTTGTAACGAAATGATCGGTTTAGCATTGGTGAACGACTTATCAGGCGAGAAATGCCCGCCTTGTTTGCAGATGATAGCAATGCTTCTCTTGCAAGAAATAACAGCTTTTCTCAGAGAAACATTCCGAACAATTCCACGGGCTAAAAATAACAAGGTTTCATCTTTACCTTTCTGCCGTTGGCAACCCCTTGTTTTGAAGAATCAAGCAGTGTCTGGCTGGGACAAGTTGCTATCCCACAGAAGATGGTCTATATTATCAAATACCTTCAATGCCCAAGGCTCCATCAGTAGCATTGCGGACATGAACTCATCCATACATCGTAATCCTCAAATAGAAAATGAATTCAGATGATTTCAATTTAGTTAATGATCGTGAACGAAGAATAAGTCTGTCAACAGCTGAAGAAGATTCTCCTCGCGGATCGAAAGATACCATCGATGAGATTGTTGTTGACAAAAAAGGTAACTTTGGCATTCTTGAAAAATCCTTTTGTTTGAATATTACCATTACGATTAAGATCTCAAAGAACTTTAGTTATGATTTCCTTTAGTTTTCGGACGTACTAACCCATCTAGATTTTCGTGTTCTGTTCTGAGCAATCGAATTACCAATTGAAGACAAACCTTTAGTACAAACTAACCTTCCACGATTACAACAACTCAGTTTCTTAAATGAGACCATCTCAGCTTCTTCCGCAAGAAAGAGTGTTGAGTGTTGAGTTCGGAGACAGAGTTCTAACCTCAGTTAGATTTCTGCTTGTTTTCATTCAGCTTTTTCATGTCCGAGTATAGTTGGAATACTAACAGCAAAGCCTGATTGATTTACAAGTAGCTTAAACATGCTTTATGTTGGTTTCTCAGTGAAATCATCATAATCCTCAGATTTACATTACATTTCTCGTTTCCTATTAGAACTGTCAGTTGTTTTGCTTTTTTGTTTTTAATTCTGGCTCGAAGGAAACGAGATTGTAAATGAAGAGAAAGATGAATCTGAACGCTGAGCATGCCTTATGTATCCTGTTGATTGTTTTGTGCCCAGCAGTTCGACCACCATCTCTGAGTGCTCGTCTATTCTCTCGCCAATCGACCCATGATGAATCTGGATCAGCTCATGGATCGACCAAATCTACAACCTACGTTCCGGACAGTGCTCATCAATCAGGTTAGATAACAAAGATGATTTATGTGAAATAGTTCCGATTTTCTTAACTTTAACATCCATTTTCGATAGCTATGTGAAAAACTAAGATAATCATTCATTTTTTGATAAGCATTCTCATCTTACCCCTAGATTCTCCTTCAATGCTTCGAAAAATGAATGATCATATATGGAGTGTTCCAAGTGTTCTAACCCATATTGCTGTGTTCGCTTCATTTCGTTCTTACTGTCTTGTCAGCTTAAGCTTGAATAATGTGCTAACTCGGTGGCTCATTCAACCATTTTCGGTTACTTCCTCAAACTCTTCTATGATCTATACTTTCCAAACGACTCTCATCTCATAGATTTCATTTTTTTGAAGGAAGACGTATCGCGGCTGGTAGGCAACGGCTGCTGAAGCGAGGCTCTCCTATGGGAACTCAGCCTTCTTTAGAGAGTAGCCATAAGCGACGTAGCTTCAGGTTTTTTTTTTATCGATTCATAACTTGTTAATCTATCTTAATTTTGAAGGATGAGAAAAGCTTCGAAGCAACCACAATCGACATTGGAAGAAGGTGATGACAGAGTTGATGGTAAGTGAACTTCTCATTTGTTTCCCCTGTATAGGAAGTCAAGGAAGTTAGCAAAATCTGTTTTGTGTTCTTACTGCCCAGAGAATTCTGTTTTTGTGTTGAGTTAGAAACTGAAGTTGTTTCCATTTTTTTCTTGCGCAGTGTGAAATCCTTGAATTCGGCTCTATCAGCTGAGGTGAAATCTCTGAACAAGCTGTATCAGTTAACCTATCTTCGAATTTTTTTTACTGTGAACCATGTCGTTTCTTCTGAAATTTCTATTTTTCTTTATCTCTGTTTCTACTCTACAGAACGTAAACCCAGCTTTCGCTTACTGTCAAACGGTAACACTCAAACGGAGAGTGTTGCTGTTGCTTCTTCACCAAGCCCAGTAGCTGGCGGGAGCGCCGACGGTTCGCCATTCAACCTTCGGGCGGCTATAGCTACGCTCCAAGCGGGAATGCTCTTTCAAGAAGGTGATAGCATAAATCTGGATGATCTAGTTGCACATGACGCTGATTATTCATTCGACAAACCATTCTTACCTTTATTTTATGTTACATCCTTCCCTTACGTTGATACCTACTCTCCCAGCATCCCCTGTTCTACCCCACATGTTGCATTTTCAAATCTGAATGAAAATGATTTATGTTGACATTCCTGCTCGGATATACCTTCAAATCAATCGTCTCTTGTGCAATATATGTTTTCCGATGTTCAGTTATGCATGAAAGCTTGATAACAAGATACCCTTAGACTCTACAAACGGTTCTCCATTAGCTACTTTCCGTACTTCTAAACTTGAACTGAACCGTCTCATTTCAGTAATTCCTTTGGCCGCTCGAGATTCTCTGAAAGCAACAGATGAAATTCCACTACAATCGCCAACTGAGAATGTAAGTTAACACAACCGGTCGCAAAAAATTTTTGTTTGAAATGAGTTTGCTATAACGCCATTTGCTCCTATTCACGTGAATCACGTACTTTTGAGAACACGTGGATAACGTAGCCCTGTTCACGTGGATCGTATAGCTATTACATGTGGCTGCTGTAGTTTTGCGGCCAATACTAGAAAAGAAAAATGTTGAGCTTTACTAAAACTTTCTATTCAGATAAGTCATCCTAATTCTCAACATGGAAGTGCTTATGGTACTCAGACTGCTCCTAAGACGAATCTGGATGATGATGAGCAGCATATGCTTAACAACTTGCCATGGATAAAAGTTTGTTCTGTTTTGAGGATAACTCTAATGATGTTGAACAGGTTGTTATCAAGATGGCGAACTCATTTGATTTGAATTGTGCTCATGAAGGGTATTGCACATCGCGTTGCTTCCAAAGAGTTTATCGACAGTGTTCGAGAGTAACTGAATCTTTGGCAACTTTATATGGGCAGAAAAGGTTTGTGAGAAAATGTTAACCACATCGTAAATCACGCTTCAGAGCAATCAAAACAAGAATTGACCGTAGAAAGCTGCTAATGGATCGTCACCAAACTGAGCAGAACGCTATGCGTCGAGTATGTTTCTTGTTTACTCCACCCTTTTCGGGAATCAAATATATTTCAAAACATTTTGAATATGGTTTAGCAAACTAAACAAAACATTAAAAACATTTCAGCCATCTCAGCAGGTTCAAAAGAAGCCAACTCCCAACGTAAGCCGTCCTAATGCTACCCTATCACCTTTCGCTCAAAATTGTCTAACATCGAAAGCTGCTGCAACTTTTTTTTCCAACTTAACTATCCAAATAAGCACTCATACACACATTTCAAATAGCATAACTTACATAGCTTGCTGAGAATTCTTTTCTTTAAACCACGAAAACCACCTTCCCTTCTTCCTTTTAGGTGTCGTTGTTAGAGCGTAACGCTGTTTTCTTGTACTTTCAAGTTTTTGAATGTTGAAAGCGAGTTGATATTTCACTTGAGAGTGAAATCATCATAGATGATGTTATCAATGTAGATGGCGTGCTCACTTAGACACTGTTTCCTCATAGGATTTTCCTTGTTGCACCGAAACTGTTCTTATCGCCAAACTTTCAGTCTGTGCACTCGAGACAATCCTCAGTTCTGCCTCGTCGAGAGTCAGCCATGGTTGGACAGAACACAGAGTGTGCCAGCAAAGCAATAAAGGTTGGACTTCACTTCTGCCTTCTGGTACTGAGTAATTATCTTAGGCTCTTCTTATGGAGAAAATGATGCAAGAACGGGAGCGGGAAAAAGAGAAAGAGAGAGACGACGTTGTTAAGAAGGCCAGTGTTGAGCAGGATCGTGAGTCGGACAATGTCATTGATGAAAAGGATTGTGACATAAACATCCCTATGTTAGATTACATCAATTGCTTGGTATAAGACAAAATATAAAAGACCAGAACAAACTAATTATGATTCCAGGTATTGAATCTGGTACACACACCACTATCGACAGCATTGAAGAGCGCTTTGTTACTCACATCTGATCAATACAAAATGATGATCGAAGTGTCATGGAAGTTACTTTTGAATGAAGATCCTCATGTCGTAACAAGCGCTGCTTCAATGTTCATACTCGCTTGTGTTCGGCGTCCCGAAGATTCATTGAAGATTGTGAAAGATGCCTTGAAATCAGTAAACGCTTCCGAAAGAACAGCAGCAATCCAAAGGTATGTGTTGAACACGAGAATTTGTAATAATCGTCATGCCTCAGGTTTTATGCTTTATGGAGAAACCGTTATCACGTGTGGTTGAAAATGGAGGACGGAGCACAATCATCTTTCAAAGTCCCACCACCTGGAATTGATTTTACTTTGCCTTCTCCACCTATTGGTCAGAGCCAATTACCAGTTGTTGATCCTCCTTGGATGCCACACTCGAAAACCAAGATAGAAGAGTTGTCTCTGAAGGAAGAAGAGCATGCAACGGTGCGTTCGTTTCAGTTGACTTACTCAATTCTCTCATTCTTTAGTCCCAAACCATCATGACTATGACAAGAACTAGAAGAAAACAGAAGCAGGAAATGGTGAAGAGGGCTGTTCGAGAAGCTGAGGAAAGGCAATGTGAACAAAGACAACAGTTTCGATTACGAGGATCAGCTATTGTTTCTGTGGCAGCCTACGAACCAGCATTGTTTCATCATCAAAACGAACCACAAGAAGGTAATCAATTGAATTAGCATAAATTTCGTTCACGTACCGTTCACTTGTTTGCGCGCCACGCGAAATCGGCGTCATTTTCAAATCGTCAAGCGTGCTGACCGGTCGCATCTAAAAACTCAATCGAAGTTTGTCTCATAAATTTTTTTTTACAGAATCGGAAGCTGCCCATCATGGAAACAGACATGTACTACCAGTCGCTCAGCCTTTATTTCCATCAAGTTTGCTCAGCGCTGTGCCGTTAATTATTGAAATGCTGGATGACCCGCAAGTAGATAAATGTGGATTATCAGGTTAGTTAAAGATCTCCCACGTTACACATTCTAGTTGTTGTAGTTGGGGATGTTGCTAAGAAGATTATATGGACTTGTATAGTGGAAGAGCCTTCCTTGTTTCTTCGTCATTTTTTAGAAAAGCTTACAAACAGAGAAAGACAGGTATGTTCTTTTCTGTTTTTTTGAGGATTTGAACTCTCTCCGATCATCATGGTTCTTCTCATCTCTATAACCTGAACAATTTTTGTTAACTTGTATTCAATTCTTTCAGCAAGTTAACCCAGAATACCGTCCCACAGATAGTTATGTAAGTAAAGGAAACGCATCATTAGCATGAGCAATTTGTCAATAATTTCATCCCTGTGTTTATTATAATTAATCTCGTCTAACACTTGTTTCGTTCATATGCATTCAATCAAGCGCTTGAATATCATATAACTAATGTCCTGAATTGCTTTAACACGAACCTAAAGTCAGTTCTAGCTTTATACTAACCAAAGTTTTTTGTTGGTTCAGCCAGATAATCCTGCTACTCTCTTTTTTTTGTTATCCCTGCTGTTGTTATAGCTTTAAGGTTATATACTTGCATGATATCTGGGCTGGATCAAATTGACTCCTCTGCTTTAAGTATAATATTCAGTGCTAGTTTGAGGGGAATCGGGCATATATTTTTTTAAAACACTTGCTATCTTCATTTTTTACAGGAGTACCTGATGTCTTTGCTACGTAAGCTGATCCTACGATTCAATCCTCTGCCAAGCCAAGTAGCTTGTAGTTTGCTGAATTATTTGGTAATTTATTTTAAAACCGAGTTTCAAGCATACTTCATCTTAAGTTCGGCTTTGTGATGCACTATGTCAGGGCACAGTGTGATGGATCAGACAAGGCGTTAGGCATGGCTCTGTCGCTAACTTGGATTTTGGCGCCGAACGTTCACGGCATATTTTTCAAAGATCTTAAGCAAACTTTGAAGAAGGAGCAATGTGATGTAAGAGATTGGCATTTAATCAAGTCCTGAATGTTCTAATTCCAGCAAGCTTTGATGATAACAGCTAATGTACCATCTGCTAAGAAAATCATCGTGCACGGACCTGATTCCGGACTAGGTGGTATCCCAAGCCAATTCCCGGTCCACGAAGATACACAATTCCAGCAAATCTTGAGGTTTGATAGAAATTTGCGAGAGTAGAAGTTTATGAAATATTTCTAGTGATAGCTTGGAGTTCTTCAATATTGAAGGAGAGGATGTGAATTCGTATTATTTGACCGACACGAAAACTGGTCAAATCCATTTACCATCTGGCTATGTTAGGTATTATACCTTTGTTGTTTAAATGTATAACACGTTGTTTCAGAGACTACTATTTCTTCCATCGATCATTCTATCCTCAACTAACATTAGTGAAGATGGATCCTGAACAGGCTTCCTCAAAAATGAAAAACACAGCTTTTAATCAACGATTCATCGAAGTTGGAAAAGTCTTACTTACTCATAGCATTCTTAAGTATAGTCCTCAGCATGTTGTAAGCCATCATAAAGTTACCCGCAATAACTGTATTGCTATTCAGATTGCTCAAAGGATTTTCTTCCTACATGATGAGCTCACTCACCTACCCTCTTTCCCACGCAAGAGTTTAGAAACTTGTTTTGGTATGCACCATGGAGATATGGGTAATGAGTTGAAAGTCATGGAAGAAATGCACAAATTCACCTGGGCTAAAGTAGGCAGAGTCTTCCAAAATCGTTCACAAACCTTATGTTTAGCTGATGGCTGATATGTTTGAAAAGATGGAGAATGCATTCATGTTTGCAGATTTACATCTGTTCATTAACGTTGTAAGTTTACTTATCCTATTCTGATATAAATTCCATACTTACGGAACAAGTTCTATCTTCGAATTCAGGTAAATGGCATAATGATAATGCACTGTGAAGATGTTCTGATACTGCGCCGTTGCGCTGCAACATATATTTCAATTTCCATTCACTTTAACACTCTCTTTGCGAGTCAAGGATTCTTCTTAATAATGCCAACGATTCTCCGATGCTACAGTCAGAGACAAACCAACCGGGTGTTTTGTTCTGTTGTTGAATTCATGTGTCGACAGTTCTATCTACTTCATAGGTTTGTATCATCAATGCTTCGCGTTCATTCCGTTTATCACAGAAAACCTTTTTTGCTTCAAATGTGTGGATCAGTAGCCAACATCTTAGACACTAGTTCAAGTGACTTCGATATAAACCCCATGAAAGTTAAAGCAAAGGTTTGCGAGTAGACTAAATCGAGCTTATCATATTACTCTAGTACTTCTTCAACCTTTTACACAAGATGGAAACCATGGGTGAAGACTCAGATCAGTTTGAGATCTTGGGGCTTGTTCCGTACGAAAAGCCTCTGAGAGCTCTTGATTTGTGTTATCGCGATGATCCTAACACCTTCTGTGTATTGACTGATGCGTTAGCCAGTTGCATTTGTGTGTGCGCGTTCGCTCCAGAAAGCAAGAGAAGCTATCAAATGCTGGTATGTTTTTTTTAAGTTCAATCAATTAACTGATGAGTTGAAGCTCGTGATGGCTGCTATTCTGCCCCATTTAATCAAGAAGATGGAGGAAGCAACTGTGTTGCAGAAAAATTCACCAAGTGCTGCCAAAAACGAACTCGGTATGTCTGCGTAACACTTCTATCGAAAATTATTGTCTTAAGCTCAATGGACAACATTATGTGTGGAAATCAAAGCTTTGATCAATAGTTGTGAAGCATTGGCTCGAGGTCCTCAGCGTGCATTTGATTTGGCTAACGTTGCTGAGCGAGGAAAATCTTTTGTTGCTGATTCTCCACAATTTTTCGATCCTCCCACGACGAATGAGGACGAGAATTCAAGACCTTTCCATTTGTAAGCCTTTATATTCAAATCTCCGATCAATTACATTCTTTAGAAAAGAGAAAAAGTCAACTGCGATGGGTTGGGAAGCCGCGGAAGTTGAAGAACAGCATAAGGAGCAGTATCGGCGGCCTAGAGACACTCTATTGTGTCTAACGGCGCAGTTTGTGGAAATGGCTACTCCAAGACTCAAAGAGCTAGCAAAGTTAACAGCTTCAACAGAACATGGGAAAATTCCGGATGTAATGGATCACAAATGTCATGTTAAATTGAGCGAAGTTGCTCTGTCGCTATTGAAAATAGCTCCGTATGATTTGGCCACCATGTCATCGATCGGACTACAGAAGTATACTTTGTGATGAAGATTTAAAACTAATTTTTTCCGTTATACAGATACTTCATGGTTATTCTACCCGTCACTGATTGGTCTATTGAATCCAATAGATCCGCATTGAATATAATTCTCCGGCGATTGGACAAAACAATCGCAAAGATCGCGAAGAAGCAAAACATCAGGCGTCGCGTCAGTTGGAACGCACTCAGTAACTGGATAATCGGAATATGTGATACTCTAACTGCATTCCCATATATTGCTCATTTACATCCGCTCAAGGTGATTATTCCATCTTACATTATCTCAATGAAATTCTTACAGACAACTGCTCAAATGTGCCTACGCATAATGGTTGGTGACCCTTGCCATGATGAAGGAACACCTGCAGCACATCCTTCAACAGTACTTCATCCCACAACACCTCCCACTATATTCTGTCAATCCGTTCTACGCTTGACTGTTATATTGATGCAAGCTCTGGGTCAAGTAAGTTATCCAGTTGACCTTAGCATTAAAGTTTTTTTCGCTTTTAGTTTTCATTCTCATTGGAGTTAGTAACAAGTGTGGAAGGAATGGGAGTATCAGCCGATCGATTAGAAGCAGTGCTCTGCCATCTACTGATTCCTTTGATTCTGCGTATAAATAGTAACCCGAAAGGTATCATTACCTTGATCAAATTGTAAATATGTGGTTTTCCAGAAACTTCAATACTTCAACCGAAAGATCTGTCTTACTGCATTCAAATAATGCAGAATGCAGTTTCTCCTCCTTTGGGTAAACAATCTGTAGCGCCACTTATGAGTACCTCGACTCTAGCCACGACTTTCATACGAAGCACACAAGCACATGGTAATCGTTTGATTTATTTCTCTGAATCAGTCTTACCTCTCATTTAGTTGATCTTCCTGGTCGACAAGGCTCTGTTTCTGTAACTGACCGCGGACACTCTGCGACAGTTTCGACTCATAGGATCGTTAGAGAGAGCGTTTGTCAAAGCATCTATTTAGGTCTGAAAGTTCAAAGATATCAAACGTCATTTTGTAATATTTTCAGCTTTGAAAGTCTTGTTGCTATGCTTTGGGAAGCTCTTAACAACAATGTGGCCAAGAATTGCTCGTCTTGTTAAAGGTTACTCGTACCATATACGAAAAGTTTGTAACAAAGAAACTCCAGATCTTTTGGTCAAGAAACCAGGAACACCTTCAGCTGTGAGCTTCGTGGAGTTTCTGCTACAATCGAATCTACCAATAGCTCTTTTGATCCTTCCAGTAATCTACAACAAGGTAACATTTGTTCTGAGCCTGAGTAAATGACACTGTTCTAGGTCAAGCAGAAACCCGTAAGTGATCAAGACGGAGCTTGGCAATCAGACATCCTAGAAAAAATAGAAAATAAGAGTCATCAAACTGTCCCAATTGCGATTCTCATCAGCAAGTGAGTTTCGTTCAGAAATCATTGATTCCATTTCATATTTCACAGATGTAATCAAGAATTAGCTCAGTTGAAAGAAGAGTTGTCAATGAAACCTATGGGTTAGTTATTGAAATTTCTAAACTCAGCTAATTAACATCTCTCTAGAAATAACGAGATCGTACACACCCACAATGACCGACGGCCATTCGGATTCATCAGCTGCTTCTCTAGCTCCTAGAACGGCTCCATCCAGGCAGAGCATTGATCGGAGATCAAGCCAACAAGGCAAAAAGACATTGACAACCATGAAGGTGAGAAGAAGCTTGAAGTTTTTTTTCAAAAAGAAACATGCAGGAAGGAACAGAAGGAACTATCCCTGAAGACGTTGAAGATGACAATGCGACATCATCTACTCCAAACGAAGGAACGCAGTATTCGAGTCGTGTCACGAAGAGTCCTAGCGTGCCATTGAACAGAGTAAAAAGTTCAACCGAGTTCTAGAATTATTTTTGCTTGGCAGATTGCTCACTCACCTCGATCCGGATTTGGAATGTGGAGGAGTGTTCGCCGGAAGTCACGGAACGTTTCCACTGAAAGTGAGAGTGAAGGGGAGCGAAGCGTTGAGCTACGGGATCTTCATCATCGCATAGACGAGGTTCACTCTCTGCTAATTTCTTGAGTTACTGTGTTTTTTTAGACGCTAAAAACTCCAACAAGAAGATCTACAGAAGCATTGGTGCTCCCTCTTCATGATTCGATTGATGCCAGTAGACAAAGATGTAAGTGATCCCAAGTGTGAACCTTCCTTATCAATGTTTCATATCAGTCGTGTCCTTCTCAACACCCAAAAAAGGACTTAATGGAGATGATGATGACGACTTCCAGATTTTCGAACAGCATCAACTTGTTTAAAGTATTTTATTTTTCAATTGGAGAGTTTTACAGATTTCTATTATGTTTTGAAAATGATACCGGTAAACTAACATTTCGAATGATATTGTGCCATATTTTAATAAAGAATTTATCATATAGTCTACACCTCACATGATTAACCTAGAGAATCAAAAGCTTAGCCTTTGAGTTGAACATGCTGGCTTCTGGAGCTAGAAAAACGAAAAGATTTCGCTCCCGGGTGGGCTCGAACCACCAACCTTTCGGTTAACAGCCGAACGCGCTGCCTATTGCGCCACGGAAGCACTGGTACTTATATGGCGGTTAAACATTGAGATATAGTTTTTGACACTGGCTCGACTTAGACACTTCTTGAACTGAAACTCAGAGTAGAACTGAAAAGTCCTTTTAATGATGAATTGCGTCATATAATATTCTCCCAGTCACTCCAGCTTGAGAAACGGACTGGAAGTAGCTGAAGCGTGAATTAGTCCAACAGGACGTACCACCCATGATGCACATAGCTCTTTGAAGAATCATAAGATGATAAGATGTGTGAATGTAATTCATTTCTCATACGCGTATCTTGTAGTCAAATTCATAAGCTAAAACATCATAAGAAGGCTTATAAGAACTGATAAGAAGGCTTAACGACATTTTTTTGTGAAAAGAGAAATGGTTTCATGTGTGAAACGGAGAATGAAAAGGAAACTGTGATTCAAACATCTTAATCCGAACTATCTTAAAAAGGGGGTGAACTAAGTATTTCTTTTGCTCCCAATACTATATATGAGTATGCTGTTAAATTATTCAATTACCCTTATTACTTATATAGTTTGCTTACCCATTATATGTTATTGTAATCCAGTTCAACATATTTATAGTTTGGCCGACAGTAGTAGTGATTCGGTAACAACCATTCGTAATAGACTAGACTCTCATATTGATTGATATTGTAGGATTTGTATGCTAGTGGTGTTGATTTCTATCTTAGCAATTTACCCAATTCAACTGATCCATTGGATACTTCTATTACTTGTATCGAAGATTTGGACTACAAAACGGCTTTTCTTTAGTCAGACTCTTGTTTGCATTCATGGTTCAACAGAAGATTTTTCAGCTTTTACGATGCAGACGGCTTCAATAACGACACCGGTCATCTAGCAAAGTCATTGATAGATAGTATGTAGAGCTTGGAAGTGAACTTCATTCTGGAACTTTTTCAGGAAAAATTCAGGTTGAATATGTGATCACACCTCTCATTCCCAGTATGATCCTGCCAAGCACATTGATCAATAGTGTCTTACAGAATCTCAAAACAAACGATTTATCGCCAAAATTCATGTGGATGAATGTGATTATGATTTGCTTCAAGCCTTCATGTTGAATAGAGTTTTTTCAGATTATAAACTCAGGTGAAGACGTTGAATCAAATATTGATTATCTAGCAGGATTGCGAAGTGCTCTGCAAGTATTGTAGTTTAACGAATGTTTGATTGGTCCCGTCTTTTCAGGAAAATGACATTGGAATAGGACTCATAGCCATTCCAGAGATATGGGATTTCTACTATAACAAGTGGTCGAAACCAGCTGAAGAGAACGATCTTCTTTGGTGAGATGTAGCAGAGTAGTTCATAGAATCATATTTCGCATTGAAGGGTGGATTTAGTGTTGGACAACTTTGATGAGTTTGAAAGTTTTGGAGGTTGGGACCGAGTTTCAGTAATTTCTCCAACAACTGTCGTCCAGTGTGAAATGAAGTTCGGGAAGTAAGTGACTCATCGTCATAATCAAATTTGTTCTTTAATCAGCTTGAGTTACCGGAAAGATGATATTGATGCTCATTTCAAGACCAACTCATCAGTTAAGGCAATCAATGTGATGATCATCCTGATTGTATTCATCCTTTCCACTTTATAAAAATTAAAAAGAAAAGTGTGTGCTTTGTAATCTATTCGACGATGAGAAACGGGGAAGTCCATACTTGTCCTCGCTGAGGAAATCGCAAAGGAAGTAATCGGATATGATGAATTTAATTTTTTGTTCTCAATGGCGAAAAGACACTTCCGTCATATTGTAGATTCGTCTGTAGTTTCAAACAGGATGTGAATGGTTGGTCCGAAAGAACTCTCAGTTTATTCATGGGTTTTTCTCAACTTATTAGCTTTTGTTGTCAAATTTTCATTGAAGGATTGCAGATGATGAGGATGATGATGTTTGCCAAGAAAATCTTGAAGATTGTAAGCTTTGTGATGATGTTCGCTGAGATTGTTCGCTGACGGGTAGATTGAGAACAGGGCTGGAGGCTCCCAATAAAAGGTAAATTTTTTCGAATCAAACCCTCTGTTCTATTTCTCTTCTCGAAAGTGTAGATATTTGAAAGTTGTTGTAAATTTAATACGAAGTGGTTCTGATTGAATCGTTCAACGGTCTCTGAGTGAGAGCAGTGACACCCTGTGAAAGTGCAAGATGAATCATCCTCAACTCCTTTAGATTTATTTGTTTACTTGAAGTTATTAACTGTTAGACAGATGATGTATCTTACGTTTAGAAAGAATGAGAGAAGGTTTTGTAATTTTAATTATGTTAGAACGTCTGAGACACACTTGAAATGAGAAATCGCCATTGTCCGGTATTTATCAGATCTTCTTGTGCTTCTTGTCCTCCTCAAGAGGTCACAGAGATAACATGAAGAGCTGAAGATTTTTTGTTTGTCATTTCATCTTGTCAAATCTCATGGCCATTGGACAAATCTTCTGATTATTTTAATGGACGAAAGCAGTTGCTCCATATTCAACGTTCTCTTCATCTATCTCACTCTTCTCATTCCCCTTTTGCGGAGATGATCCGTCTCACCTTATTTGCTCATCTTTTTTCATCTTCTCAATTCACAACTTTTATGGCGATGATGAGTGTCCGAAATCTTTTTTTCTTAATTGTTTTTTCATTTCTCTTGACAAAGTGATTGGAAGTCCATTGAAGATGATCCTCCTTTTTTTCGTTTTCACATCTGGTCAATCCTCTACTAAAATAAATAAGATTTGTTTTTATAATTCTTTGCCAGTTTAATGCGATCACCCTCATCACCCTCATCAGCCTTTTCATCTCCTTTTTACATCAAGAATCAGCTTTTTATCCTCCCGATCGGTTTCAGTTATGATAAACGTTGGTTTGTTGGCATTGATTCTCTGTCCAACAGTGATAGCTTGGAATTGTGGCATTGGACCATTGAGTGGAGCACTCTCGTACACTTTAGCATTCCCAGTCGATTTACCAGGTTAGATATCATCCATCTTCAGATCATGTCATGCAATTTGTTACACTTTATAGGAATTAATCGATGTTGTGTAGAACATGATACTCTCATTGATGCTTTGCATGTGGCTCGACATGAAGCTGACCGTCTATTCTGCCAATGTCTCTCCAATTATGATTCGTGGTAAATATTTTTTTTTTGCTGTCTGTCTGTTGAACCTCCTCACCCATCATCTGTTTGTATTGAAAACAAACAACTCAAATGTCTTTTTATGAACATGTTGTTTCAGGTATATGAGAACCATTATAAAACCAATATTTTGCACCGCCGTTGAACTTTATACCGAATGGTTTTCAGCCCAGAAGAGCCGAGAAAATATTTTGCAGATTGTTGAGCACATCAATTAATCTTACCAAAAGTATTGTTCGATAAGTTTAGGCTTTAAGATTTATTTGATTCATTTTAATGTTGTAGCATCAGAGATTCTTATCTTCTTCTTCCAACCTATTCTTCTCTTCATTCAACTCATCATTTGTACATTTTTCTTGTTCAATCTTATTCCGCCATCTGCTACCCACAACTCTTTCTTCCCCACATTTACTTTATCTCACAGATAATAAACTATTAGATTATTCAGTCTTGATCATGTTGAGAATAGCTCTTGTGTTGTTTCTTGTTCATCTCAGCTCAGCCGAATGGTATTGTGGAGTCTACAGTGTTGATAGCTTCTTATCCCGAGTTCTCTGCTATCCATCCACCTACTCCAATGGTGTTTCTAACTGTCAACCAGATCTCATGTAGTATCTATTTCAGAAATCAATCAATGCTGTCGTATACATGACCGTGATTATGATGACATAGAAGCTAAAAGATGTGATTTGATGCAGACATACTGTACGCATAAACGAACAGTCTCTGATGAACAGTTTTGCAGTTGTTTGAAAGGAGTTCCCAGCTTGTGAGTATCTTTCCCCCAGGTTCAGGTTATTACACTCATTCGTTCAGATACGTGAGAGCTATTGTTGCGCCAACATTCTGTGGAGTTGTCAACGTTTTCTCTTTCTTCAAAAATATCTTTTAGAACTTCCTTGAACCTGACTTTTCCAGAAGAACTCTCAATTTTCATAATTTTTGCGATCGAGAAAGAGCTAAAGCAAACATTACATACAAGTGTTCACCAAAACATCAAACAAACACATTTTACGTTTCAAACAAATTACAAATTTCATTAGAAGGAAAGCAATATCATCTGACAGTTATGAGATTATGTCGTTCATTGTTTTACCCATTGTGCCTTAAACAGAGAAGCTTTCCAATCATAACGTGCTCCATTGACATATTTAGACCTATAATAAAGATTTCTGTTACAGCTGTCTCCAAATCATACACTGATGATATGTTAATCCATTATATCCAATTAAGGTTTTATACTTTCATTCTTTATTGGCACGACCGCTCACTCATCATTCTATATTAAAATGAAAATGAATTTCATTTTCACACGAACGGTTAAGCTGAGCAGTCGCACACGTTTCTGCGAGAGATAATTTTAAGAATTTGTGAGAAGTGGAAGATGTTTATTCAAGCTGTTCGCATGCTGACTTAGAGTTTGTTTTCAGTAGAAATGTATAACGTTATATAGGCTGATCAGAAGTTAGTATGATTGTCGTTCTGTAATGAACCGTAGAATGTTTGAGTTCTGATCATGGCGTATCTCTGATTGCAGTGACTGTTCTATAAACTCCGTCCCTTTCTCACTTGTGGTCAGAGCTGAAGAAATCTTTAGTATTACCTGCACCCTCTCTAGTAATCAATTCATTTGAAAAACTATTTTTGGAATATCTAATTTTCCAAATTGAAGTTCCTGCAATCATAATCAGCTCACCTATTAATGAATTTTGGAAGCGCAGCTGTTCTTCTATTTCTAGAATGTAAAATTTTGATCTTGTAATTTCAGATTGAAAGTGATAAGTTTATATTGAGCAAGATATGAGCGGACAAAGGATTCACATAAATCATATGACAAAGGCCGTATTCTCAGCAATCCCATGCCTCATCTGTGGAATTGCGCATCGAAGAGACTGCTAACCAGCTGCAAGAAAATTATAAACATTCGTTTATAGGATCAGAAAGATACTTACGTAGTGTTTCATTATTGAAGTTGTCAACAAACAATTCACCTATTTTTCCATTTAGCCTTCGATCGAGCTTAACTACAATTGTGAGATCAGCAATTCAACAGGCTGTTTGCTGCTTCCTTGTGTCTTGGAATAGATAAAACCTATTCGAGACAACCCGTTCAGGTAGGTGTTTGGTTCATTCGAGACTGATATTATAACTGATAGCCCATACTGATAGTTATAAGTGCAAGTTGTAAAAGCTTCCTATGAAATTAGGGGAACTGAGTGGCTAGATGCTTAATTTCAGTTGACTGCCTTCTGAAAATGATACGTCGAGCTACCCACCAATTAGGTAAGCCAGACTGCTATGTGCTCGGAATTACTTCATTCTTCTTTGGTCGCCAAACTGTTGGAACAACTGAGAGTATTTTGAACAAGTGAGACTTACCTATTTCCAGCTTTTTGTTCATATGGTTTATATAATCTGTGTTCGACATCAGCACGGCATATGCCGAGAACGCCGGGTATGAAGTCATGCACATGAAGCAAGCTTGTGAAACAACTTCAATTTGGAACACCTGTTCTTATCAGTTATGTATTCAAAGTAACCTGCATTGCCCGTGTCGAAAACCACACATACACCCAGAATGCCTACAGGGAAAAGTATTGTTGCAAATTTAAATATTGTCTAAATGGAGTATGGCTATTCCGGGTACAAAGCTGAGATTACTATTCACCAAACGGATTATGCCATGTGTAAGCCTTTGCTGGTTGGCCAAGAAACGTGAAGACTGTGATGATTTCCCTTGCTTCTTTATGCTTTGAATCAGTATTCCGGTAAGAGTAAATCCAGCTGTCATAAAGTACAGAACAAGACAACCTCCCGCTGCTGTTGCCATAACAGATCCAGATCCCATAGACATAATCATGTTTACCGAATTCTTCCGATACATTATTTCAGGATAATTGTAATTCAACTTCTGATAAAACTATTCTTGGTACACATGGAGGAAACAGTGACTCACCTTTTTGCACAACTCTCGCCCCGCTTCACCTCCATCTTCAATACTCATACCTAATATCATCGAGAGTATGATTTGAATAAAGAAAAAAACAAAATGCGTTTTTAGAATGAAACTTTTCAACTTGGAACTTGTCTTAATGGAGAGTGCGAACACTCGAATGATAGAAAGAAGCAAGGAGAACCAGCCAGTAACTGAAACATCCAATGACTTCGATAGCAAGAGCTTGTGTTCTTACTAGCAAACATAAGAGCTTGGGTCCAAGCTTGATTCAATGGGCTCATAATATTGAAACGATCGAACAACCCATCGGGATATCCAGCGATGCAAGGAAATATGAAAGTGGGTGTTGTTCCTAATGTAAGGTAGAGTTGACAAACAGCAGCGCTTAAGAACTCTAACATTGAACTGTTTCTTCACAAAAAACTCACGCTATATCGTGTCCATGAATCGCGAATCGAGAAAGAGTGTTCACCTTAGTAGGAACAGATAAGAGAAGATACAAAGATAGGATTATAGTGAGAATTCCGAATAC